CCAACACGGTGAAGATTGAGACAGACTATACGAGCAATTTAGAATTTAGAATGTCGAAAAATAAAATGTTAAGTACAATTTTAACCAATTTTAATTCAATTCAAATTAAATAATAATAATCATTATTAATATTAACATATAATAACATAAACTTAATTGCAATTTTTTTACAAAGGGCAAGGAAGATGCTATATATCTACTAACAAAATATTTAAAATATACTATTCCCATACTTAAAGTGAAAGGGAGGCATATTATTCTTCAAAATTTTGAACATTGAAGCACACGACATACCGTACATAAGGTATGGTGTGTTCATAGATATAAGAAAGTGACCAATTACTTTTGAATGGGATTATCCAAAGGTGGTCATTAACATACAATGCAACAAGATTATTACCTAAAGTTTCGGAATTTAAACTCATGTAATATTGTGGTCCGTAATAGGAAATAATTTTCCACCTACCTGTGTTTAATATTCTTGTGTTTGGTATACTACTTAGTTTAAGTTTATTATTAATCATTCTTATTTCGTCTGTAATACAGAGTGGGTTGAATTGTGTGCTAATTACGCAAAATATGTACGAGTCTAGTGATCTCAGGAGATGCTCCCGCCCAAATGCAGAAAACACTATTCTATTGAGACTAAGGAAGTTATAAACAATGTTTATTTGACTCTCGTTGAACGTGTTGCCAGCAAGCAAGCACCTTTAGAAGAAACGACTCTTTTAGAATTCGGAAATGGCGAATGAAATATCTAGAAAAAATTAGGATTTACAGAGAACAACAAAGGCCAATTATTTACTTGGATGAAACCTGATTCGACCCTTATGATGCCCCTGAAAAGGGTTGAGTTGACTCAACTGATAAGTGTAAAACAAACGCGCCATCAAAAAGAGGTAAAAGAATAACTATTTTGCATGCTGGTTCTAAAGATGATTGGATTCCAAATGGACTTTCTCTGTCTGCGAAAAATATTAAAGATTCTTCTCTGGCTTAACGTGAAGACACCGCCGCTGATTTATTTGAAAGTTGGTTTAAAAACAAACTAGTTCCAAACATTCCTCCTAATAGGGTCATTGTAATGGACAATGCAAGTTATCACAGTAGACAGTTGACTAAAACCCCTTCCTCATGTGACACAAAAGCAACAATCCAAAACTACATGTATAATAACGACATTTATTTTCACGAAGATTATACCAAAAAGCAATTAATTGAGGTTCTACAAAGCTTGAACCTACAAAAGGAATACATCTGTGATAATTATGCAAAAAATCTAGGGCATACAGTTTTAAGGCTTTCCACCTTACCACTGTATATTTAATTCCATTGAACATGTTTGGCACCAACTGAAATCTGAGATTCGTCGTGACAATGTTTTTCCCCGTGTTAACTCCAATGTCCTCAAATTTATAGAAACCGAAGTTTTAAACATCCCTCCACAAAGGGCAAATTCTGTTAAACATATAGAAAAAGCAGAACAATGATATATCCATATTGCAAATAATATGGAACAAATAATAATTAGAACAGCGATAGTGATACTTATATATTTATGTGAATAACTTTAAATAATTTAAGTAGGTAATAAAAACATTTTGTAAATTTATTTTAGATTTAATCATAAATACATACATAAATAAATAAATATTGTTTAGTATCTTTCCTAACAAAACCCCACATAATTAAATTCTAAGCAAAGTACGGACCTGTTCGGCCATATTTCATTCTTACAGCTCGCCCGGGTCTTTCCTTAATTCGTATCAGTCACTTTCTTATATCTATGAACAGACTTTATCTCGATGTATTTGCATTTTACCGAAAAAGCTTTGGAATCTGCATCGCGCTTTCGCGTACGTACCGAATTTCGAGACAAACGAACTCGAGGCAAGTGATCCCGAAAGCAGTAAAAATGAAAAGTGTACGGGGTTTAGATTTACCCGCAAGTAATCCGATCAACCGCGCGCATCTTGGCGTATCTGCGGTTTTCGGTTTTTAACAGCCGCTTTGGTGTTCGACGTATCGCGTTACGCAACGCGATACCCTCTGTATGGAGCGTCTCGCAGCAAAACGTCTGCACTATGCACACCACAGAATAAATTTAAAAAAGAGCGACGAATTAAATGACAATAATCGAGATGCCTGTGAACAAATGAGTTACGACTTATGTACGAATGTCCATCTTTATCTGTACCCGCTGGGATAGTTGAAGAGACAAAACATTGGGTTGATCAAAATTACTTAATATTTTTATCTTATTCTATGTGTTTTTTATGCTTGTACCTGTTTGATTTGTGTCATATTAGGAAGAAAATGAATCTAAACTCAAAAACAAAGATAAATTCGAAGTTGGGTTCTTGTATAGTTCTATATTTTGACACCCACCTACAGAGATTATTAAAGGAGATAGTCAAAAACTTTTTCCATAAAAGTTGTATTAGATAATATAGTGACCGTACTGCGGTAAAAATTTGCAGAGAAGGTAATGATTTTATTACACTTACTAAGCTGCACGTGGGACCATTTTCTTTCTAAACAGCGAATTCCACACAGTTAACTCGTTTTCCCATAACTTTTAATGAGATCTAGGCATATTTTGAGAAAATACCGCATACCTTCTCAAAACTTTGTTAAAAGTTGCTTCATAAGATTTTGTATTATCGACATAGGCCGTGTTTCTAGTAGCTATATGAATTTATCGTAGCATTTGGTTTAGCCGTTTTTGAAATATCTTGAGTTTATTATTTAAGAATGAAATTTATTAATCACCATGAACATTACCTTGGAAAACAAAGCATTGTCTATAAAACATACTCTTTTGAAATACAAAAATGTTCTTTTGAGAAATGTTAAAACACTGTTGAAAGAAATATTAAAATATTAAACTTTTTGAACCATACTAGTAATAATCAGTCGTGTACAATAAATTAGTGCGAATAAAATGACATGACTAGTTTGTATGGTTAGGATGTTGATGATTAACCAAAGTATATGAAATACCTTGGTTAGTAAGGATTCTTTTTATTTTGTGAAGGTATATTAAATCTAGGCCCTGACGTCACATGATAGCTTCGAAAGTAATTATACATAAAATATAGAGCAATCGATTCAAATCCACTCTAAAGTAATTGTGACTATATCGGCATGATTTACAATGTTGAAGTGGCAATGGTCTTCAACAAAATTATGTTCTTAGAATCCTTGAAATTAGTTTTTGGTATTTGGTATATATAACAATTTCCCTCTGAAACATGGCCCCTAAATTTTATATCATTGTATATTATATCAGACAGTGAATATTTAGGGGTTTAAAAAAATATTTACTACTGGATGTGAAAAAGTTGTACAAAAATCATAGTCTATTGAACGACCAGAGAGCTTATTGGAATGCGTGGATATCCAATGGACATCTTTGTAATATTGTCAGGAGGGCTTATAAAAATTAGAAACAACATTTGTTTTTACTCTGGGTTATTCGGAAAATCTAAAACATGAAATTATTTGCTTTATTTATTCAAAAAAAATGTAAATGGATCCCCAGTGAATATCACCAGCGTTTTAGCTAGCCAGTCCTGTTATAAACTCTGTAGGAGGAAGTCAAAATGAGAAACTGTACATATAATGGAAAAAATGTCAAACTTTGTTGCCATAATCTAGCATATATAACTACGCCATCAGTTTATTTTTCAGTTATGGTGTCGTCAGATAACTACTTATAGGGAAACCAACATTAACATTAATTAAGCACCAATTTAACATTAATATTAATGACGCTTATTCACTAGCCAAATTATTCTTCTTTGTAGTAAATAATTTCATTTTCAACCTCTTTTACAGGACATAACAAGGAATCCAAAAATTCTTTTCTATTCTATTTGGTGATTTTTATTTTGCTTTTTATTGGGTTTGATTTTATATTTTTTTATTAAAGCGACATTAATTGGGAAGCATCTAATGCGAGAAAATTAGTTAGCCCTCTAGCTCGCGGTGGCGCTGGTGAATTGGTTCCGATATTTAGTTACTATCCTCATTATTAGTTTTATAATACGTACATCTAGGCCGATTTAGCGAACGCGTGAGCCAAATTCGGAACGTCTCGTTGGTCTGTTTAGTTAGGAAACGCCCCGCGTATAGGTAATGTTTAGCGTTTGACCTAGATTTTAAAGGTGGTGGCTTTATTTATGTTGATAGTTCTGAAATGGAAAATATAACAAATAGGCTCGGTGTCGCAACGCGTTATTCCGGCTGGATCGATTTCGATTTGAATGCCGCCCTGACTGATCGCAATCGAAAATAGAATTCAATTATAATACGCGATATCGTTACGGCTCTATTAGGCGACAGTTTGTTCGCGATAATTGGACCGGTCTGCGCCGAAATCGTTCAGGCAACCGTACATACGCCCACCGTGGTTGTGCAACGCGAAAAATCCGTTTTATTTGTTTAAACGCCACGTCCACGCCTATACGCGTATTGCGCTTAATCCGAGGATTAATATGCTGAGTGGTTGCGAACTTTTTTCACGGTTTCAACCGAGTTACGCTATGGTGAGTCACAAAATAACCTCTACACACAGCATGAGGAAAAAACTCAATAAATTTGTTCATCTGGTTAACCCTTAATGTTGAAAATAATTAACCCTTTGCATAAACAAGAACGTTTTTCTGTCAGCATAGGCAACCAGACATACACGGGACTTGAATCGTGGAGAATATGACTAACCAAATAAATATTTACGTAATGTTAGCGACAAATTGTTTTCAAGCGGAAAGGTCAAGTCTTGTACCGGTTATTAAATACTGAAATAGCTCAAGGCTACTAGAGCATAACAAAGATTTGAGACTAGATCGTCGTGCTTGCCACACCATACCACTGCGCATAGATTTCGACTAACTGAACATAACCACAACAAACAACGCAGAGGTTCAGTTGAGAGAGCTTGGTATGATAGATACATATATTATTAGTTTTAAAAAAGTCTAACACAAACAATATCACAAGGCTATTAAAATATATATATTTTTGTATCTAAATAATAATTGTATCATTCTCGCTAGAACAATCAACTTCTTCCAAAATCGTAGCCCATTCGTTGAAATCCTTGCGACACCAAATTTATAGTGATGTAAGCATATCCCGACGTTTCCATTCTAATTACTAAAACATTGTGAACAATAAGTTTGGTGGTCAGCGGTGGTTAAAAGGAGCCTACGATGATTGCCGGCCGTAGACGCGAGCATAGTGGGTTGTCGCAACTCCGGCTGATACCCAAAGAACGAGCTCAGATAACCTAACAACGAAGAGGCAAGCGGTTTCGAAAGATGAACCCGCAATTCGTGTGTGCCCGGCTTCAGAGGAACGTGGGCCCTGCCGTACCCTTCCAAGCGCAACCCGTTGTAAACACTTAGCACTATTTGAGGCCCTAAAATTGAGGATTTTCAATATTGACTTGCGTTATTCCCGACACACTTACATCCGTACGGGTTGGTGGTTTTAAACTGCACCTCGACAGGAAAATTAAGCACGATCTTGTCGCCGTTGGTGGCTGCATAAGCCATCTGGGTCAAGCCCGCTTCCAACCCGCCAATTATTTTCCAGTCCGGTCCTGAGTAAAATTCGTATTTGCAATGGTACGAAGTGCCCGACGGTGCTAAGACATCCAGATATTCAATTTGGCCCGTGATTGACACCAGAAACGTCCCGTCGGACATTATTGTTTACGTTGTTGACAACATAACAGGTTTGTTTGTATTCCAACCGGGCTTTCGTTAGATCGATAACGGTCGAGTTCGCTACGGCAACCAACCAGACAGGTGCGTATGTTTATTGCCGTTTTTCACATATTCCTTATCTTAGCGAGGCAGAAAGTTATTCAGCATAATAGGTTACTACAAATATGGAAACCCTACCTTACGCTGATAATATGGGATCTTTTACAGCGACGATGAAAAAGAATATCGTGTAATAGATTCGATATGCGTATGCACGGACATTTGAAATCTCGTTTTCAACTAGTTAGACTTCAGGCATTCAGCTACCAACATGGCAATTGACAGTTCGTCAATTAGAAAGGTTTCAGTCTTCAAGGGAGCATTTTCTCGAAATATGCCCAGATGTTCTGGGAAAATGTATTGTGTGGAGAGAGATCACTGTTTAGGAAGTGGCTCAATGTGCAGCTTAATGGCAAAATTTAGAGGCATCTCTATGAAAATATCATAACCGCCTGCATCAATTTTAACTGTGCGTACTGCACTATGGGTGTAATTCAGCTTAACTGTGAAGGAGACGAACAAAAAATTAGTCAAGCCAAAAAATAATAAGGTTGTCACGTAACTTGAAACATCGTTAGAAGAAAAGCAGCAAACAGCATGCGTTTTGTTCGATCTAGAAAGAGCCTTGGTCGATGTTGATGTTTTAGTGGTATTAGAGGTAATCCCTTAAAGTGGTTAAGGTCTTGGGGGTCATTGGTCAAATTGCGAGATACCTTAAGATTTGAATACGTCTCTGATTCTGGGTCAGCGAATTGAGGTGTCCCTCAGAGAAGGTCACTCGATCCTTTATTGTTTATAGTGTTTATAAATGATGCGTTTTCTTGTTTCCCCCATACTTACTTTTCCCTTTTTGCGGATGATGCAGAACATCGTCTGAGCAACTTAGCATTGCAATCAAGAGCTGATATTGATTGAATTTATACTACATGAAAGTAAAACTAAGATGATCGCCTTTTCAACACGGGATTTAAATAAGAGTTTATTAATATGCTTCAATGAATGCACAATCGAACAGAAAAATGTTAGTGTAAAATTCCTTGGAATTTATGTAGGGTTGAGACTCTCCTGGTTCGATCAGGTGGATCAGATTCTCAAGAAACTTTCTGTTTATTGCTTTGTCATATGGCTCCCCCATCAGGTTTCTCTTCCCTTGCTAAAAATATACTCTTTTTCCTATGTCTATTGCTGTCTTAAGTACGCCTTGATTTGTTGAGGTTCCCCATGTGAAAAGCAAGTCTTTACGATGCAGAATCGCATTTTGCGCATTATTAATGAATTATATTAACATAATTTTATATTATTTATATTTGTGTTATACTGATTGTTGATAAAACAACCCAATGCCATCGCGAACCCTGAAACGCTGATATTGCGTTAGACGTGGCAACGTCCAACGCTTCCTTTGATCACGCTGCATAGACGTGACTGACCGCCCCGACGCACTGTGATAGAAAATGCAAATCTGAAGTTCCAAAATTCAAATTTCTTAATGACTTTTATCTTTATTTATTTTTTAACCTTTTAGCATCCTTTAGAGATACCTAATTAACAATAACAATATAATCTTAGTCGCCCTAGACGAGAAACAAAAGCTACACGCTCTAGCTAACTCTAACTAAATTATGATATCAGTTTTGTTTGCAGTATTAATTGCTCTGTGAAATAAAGTGTTGTGAGTTTTAGAACGTTCAAAAAATGCGGCATATTTCTGGAGGTATGTAGTGTATGTTTTACATATATTTATGATATTTAATGAAAAAGAGTTTTTATACCGCTCAGTTAAGTATACATTGAAAATTATAGCAGAGTAGAACTTTTTTGCGACTATTTGCGACTGCTAGATATTAACACCATCTTCTTGCCTAGTTTATATTTTTTCGAAAAAATCAAAAACTTTTGCCACCACGCGCCCCTTCCCGTTCTACATCAATTTGTATTTTTACAGACAAATTCGCGACGATTAGGTGTATCGACTTATTCGAAATTTTAAAATCAAAGGGCCCTTTATACCCTAGAAAACGTGACAGCCAACAAATACTTTTTGATTATACTATACATATCATTGGGGGTGAGAATCTTTGAGCCCAAGATGAGAATTTGGTTCTCAAGATTATTGATAATTTTACAAAAAAACTGCATGAAAAGTGGAACAAATCGAAACGTTATTTAACAAAGTTCAAGCGTATACATGAAAAATGCCTTTTGGGAGAAATTTTAAAATCAGGACCAAGACCACCAAAAAGGTTTCAAAAAATTGTTCGCCACTTATGATAAAATTTTAGTGGCCAAAAAACAATGCTACCCTAATAAAATCCTAGTGACTAACTCATCAGTTGAAGTTCCTTTGCAATCTTTATTAGATCATACTACATCTCGTGTAGTTAAGGCAACAGAAAATAATTAAAAAATTTTGGGAAGAAGTAGGTTTGCTAGTCGATATTCCCAAAGCGGGGTTCGGTAATACGAATGATGGGAATACGACTAGGAGATTTTTTTCGGACCCTGCTATTTCATCCAGAATTACTGGTGTAGACCCAAACTTAATTCATAGATGTGGCATTTTATTAAAAACTTTAAATTCCGGTTATCAAGTAGGTTCAATGCAATTTGACCATTATGCTTATGAAACAGCTCAAATCTATGTGAACCTATATGAATATTATTCAGTGCCCCTACACTGCAAAAAATCTTGACGCATAGTAAAGAGGTTATCGATAACTTTTTATTACCGATAGGACAGCTGGGAGAGGATGCCCGGGAATTGAGGCACAAAGAGGTTAAGTACTGTAGGGAGCATAATACTAGGAAGATATCTAAAAATGATTGCAACAAAGACTTATTTATTATTCTTTTAGTCTCTTCAGACCCTCTTGTATCTAGCTTGAGGGTTGTACCACCAAAAAAAGAAAGTGTTTTTAGTACAGAAGTTATCTTCTAGCAGAACCTGAATTTAATTAGATATATAAGATATTTCATTTTGCACCATTTGTATTATTAATTATAGTTAGGTAATATTGATTTATTATAATTAAATACTTTATAAATGTATAACATTAACTTTTACAGTGACTTTGTTTCTTTTTTTATCTCCAAAGATGAACTGCAGTGTAATGTTATTCAGGTGATAAAATTAACTGATTTTAATAATTACCTATTGGTTAGAACATGAACAATTATTGTTTTTTTTTTATTAAACTTGGTAGATAAAAAAAATGTACCTATCTACCTTATATACACAGAATATGTTTAGATTTTACATAGTGGTAAAATTTAATAATTAATTAATGAGTTAAATTTATCTTAATAGGTACAGTGGAGGTAAAAAATGGGACACTAGTTTGTCATATTGTAATTATAATTATTACAAAAAAATAAATATATAAATCAACTTTTGCAACAACTTTTATGTACATTTTGAGAGTTAATTAGTTAATTAGAAAAAAATGCTTATCTAGCGTTAATATTTTTGGAATCCTAGAATTGCATTTTCTGTCACTGTGCGACGGCGCCTGTTTTTCAGACATGCGTTGTTGACTTCGTCCTATCTTTAAAAACAACGTTTTAAGCCCCTTTTCCCACTTAATATCACTATACAAGTTGGTGTCGCGATCGACCCGCTTCTCAAAAGGTTTTTTTTTTAAGAAGTTAGTTTTTGTTTTACGCGAGTTTCTTAATTTTACACGAGTAAAACTTATTTGTCAAACTATGTATGTATGTATGTGTTGTGCTAAACGGCTATCATTTAAAATAAACCAGCCCGGCAAGAATACTGTCCACACCCCCAACAAAACAACCCGTTAGATGGTGGTGAAGCAAGGATACGTTTCTCCCCCACTGACAATTTCCAACACTTGTAACTCAAGTCTTATGGAAATAAAGCTGTCTTTATCTTTATCTAAAAAAAAGGGGTAATAGATATCGAGATGTGCGTGTGCATTGAAAGCAATCACTGCTAAATTTCAACTTAAAACCTCCTGCTAGGTATTTGTAGAGACAAATTTGTTTATTTCTATTAAACACAAAGTCTTTAAAAATTACCGGAAATGGTGTTTACTGAAATTAAGTATCAAAAATTCCTGTTTATTAAAGTTCGGACCCGATTCGATGTTTTTCAATAAACTCTCCAAAAGAAATGAAAATGACAATTGGTCACTACATCGCTCCTTAATTACAACTTAAAGAAATAAGAAGAATAATGAGCCGTTTCGATCCTAGTTTTTGCTTTGGTTTGTCGTTGTTAAAGTGTAGACTGTTTTCATGAAAATAAAAACGAGTTTTTGAAAATGAACATTTTTATTACATAAAATTTATCGTACAATATAATGAAAACTCTGTAAAAATAAAATAAATAGTGTGTGACACGTTTATCTTACAGTCAAAGAATGCGTAAATGTACACGAAACTAATTAAAGCTTATATTGAAAATATATAAAAAACCTAAAATACTTTATACAAGGCCTGTAGACTTTATCAAAGTGTTATGATAGAAAAACGAATAGAGTGATACAAATAGACATACCCAAATACATTCATTTTTATTGTAATGTTATCGTACAAACATTTAGGTTAAATCTATATACTAAACGGTAATATCGAGTCAGGTATTTCCTTGCATTACCATGTAACAACTTTGTCAGCATTAACGACCCTAACCAGTGTTGCCAGACGTCAATTATCGTATTTTTACGATTATTTTATTTTATTTTTTTAAATTGTATTCAAATTATTGCCTTTTTAATTTGAATACATCTCTGCTTTGCGTGGTTGTACTCAGTATCAAAGCCACGAAAACATTGAAACATTTCCTCCACGAGAAAAAAATAATTTAGAAAGCACCTCGCGATAATATTGGTCATCTGGCACTGACACCCATCTACCCTTATCCGAGTAAAAATTGTTTTCTGAAGCGGGGGGTTCGTAAGCCGAACCCAATACAAACATCTACACACACCCCCTTCCAAGCGATTGAACCGTTAAAATCTTTGGCAGTAATCCAATATTATAATAATCAAGACAACAATGTACAAAATATACAGGGCGTGCCCTGCGCTCAACTCGAAACTACGTCCCTACCCTGAAATATCTATCAATTATTATAGACATCCGAAAAAAATGCGGCTGCTTCCGCAGACTCACGTGAGCAAAATCGGTACTTTTGAGGTTAGGTTTTTGTTATTGCCACGCGTTTTCGGCGCGCCGAAAACGTTAGCCACTTTGTTCCCTTTGTGTACGTAGTTAAATGTGAAAATTTGTGCCGGCATTGTTCGTAGTCCTACGTAATTAAATCGGAATGGATTGCATCAGTCTCTGTTTGGCACGAATCGGGCGCGTATCGGAAAAAACCCCTTGAGATTACGCCCTGCCATTTTTCGCTTTTCCTTTTATTTATTTATATACAAAGCCCCGCCCGCACTTAGACCAATACGAAAACTATCGTTAAGAGCGCGTTTGTTGAGAAAATGTGTCGAAAATCATTGCAAGTGAAGATTGCAGTGGGAGCAGTAGTTCAAAGGTCAGATTTCCCAGACAAAAGCTTGATTTTTTTAAAACAAAAATGTTGGATCATGGTGCTTTCTGATTTAGTTGGGCCCCTCAGTTTACGACCTTTTTATGGTGCCAATATTACTTAATATTTTATTTATATTTTTGAATTTCGTTCACGCTAAATCTTAATGTAAATTGTTTTTGAAAATTTTTTTTTTTAAGTTTGACAAATTAATTTTGTTACTTCCGGGATATTTACATAAAAAAAAAAATAGATCAAAATGTGATTCGAATTATCATGCAGAAAGTTTAACAGTTCATTCAGCAGATAAAAACAAGTAAAAAAGTTCGTTTGCTTCGTTCGGTGTTGAAATATGGTATACAAAAAAAATGTTTTTTTTATTAAAAAAAACTCCTAAAGTTTGCTCTCAACCTTAGTAGGTATTATTGCCAGTTTAAACAAATTTATAACATAGATAAACTTGTCTATATTTTATCAGCAGCGTTCGTGAGACAATTTTAAGCAATATAAGTAATAAATTATGATCCAATATCAATCAATCAGTTTTTCCACTCACACGAATGGCGTACTAATTTTTTTATTATTTATACTAAAATGGTCTGACGAATGCCACTGGTTAAACAAAAACAAGTACATCTATATTTTATATCTGTACTTTTTAAGTGGCAATAATAGCTACCAAATTTAAAAACAAAATCTAGATTTTTCAAAAATAGGAAAAAACGATTTTTTTCGCAATATTATTTTATGACCACCTCCGTATATTTTTAGATTGTGTTTGCTTTCTTTGTATTCTTTTTTCTAATTGTTTTAACCATAATATTTAAGGGTAAAGAAAAACTTTTTTAACTTGTGTGTTTTTGGTTTTTGATTTAGTTGAAAGCTGACCAAAAAAAACATAACCCAACATCTTTTTTGTCACTTTATTTTTATTAGTGATTTTCCTCGAAAAAATATTGCATTATTTGGAAATGCAAAAATGAACTGCACACTTAACCTACAATCATTTTCGAGACGCTGACACGCGGCAACTTTTTCGAAAATTTTCGCTGGCCTTTTGGGATTTATCCTCCAAGAGCTCCGATCACAATAATCACGAGCCAAACGTTTAGGCGTTCCGGCCGCATGCATCGTAAATTCGTTTACAAATTTCTTAAATTTATTCTATACACTACCTTCTAATTTATTATTTTAATGGTAATGTAATTCGCATTTATCCAACCTGCAAGGTTCCCATCTTTTGAACATAAAGAAACGAACAAAATGGCACTAGAATGTCTTTTATAACGGGAATGGCACCGGCATCTCCATACTCACAAAACCCGGCCAACTAAACGACAAATAATCGCTGTCTATGACATGCCTGCATACCCAAAATAAAAAATAAAAGAGGAAAAAAACGCGAAGGAATTCCTACGGAAATCGTTCAATCTCCGCAAGAACGTCCGTCCCTTGAACTTAAACGACCTACAGCTCGGTCACAGCGTACAGCTGCCTCTCGTTGTCGTTGTTCGGGTACATAACCTCACCCTGCTGGTTCTGGTCCTGGATCTTGGCGGACCGGAACTGCGGATGGGGTTGCGGGTTATTCGCCCGCTGCAACGAGCGGAACTGCACGTTCGGATGGAAACTGCTGACTGACTCCTGCCACGCGCCCCTTTGAAGCGACCTAAAGTTGTTGGGGTTCAAAGGGGTCTCGGACAGGACGCCAGGAACCATCGCCGGCACCTTGGGTACCGGTGGCTGTTTCCTGCCCTTGTCGTCGGGCGTCTGAGGCAGAGGTCGGCGCCCTAAAGACGAGTAACGCCCCAAGGTCGCGGTCCTTTGCGACTCCTGCTGTTCCGGCTGTTGCTGCTGCTGCTGCTGCTGATGGTCGAACTTAAAACCTTTAAAGTTTGGGAATTCCTTGCAGGCATGCCTGTGGAAGAGACATGTCGTCTGTGACGACGAACGCAACGAAACGCGAAGCGACGGCTCACCTGTCTCAGTAAAAATCTGAGCTTTCAAGCGTCTTGCACTGCTTGCTCAGAGTCGCGTACTTGCCGTTGTTGGGGCCGGCCAGCGGCTCGTGATGGTGATGGGATGGCAGACGGCCAAGGGTGTGGCCACGGAGATGGGACAGGTGGGCGGCACCTGCGCCGCCCCGGTGGTGCTCCGATGCGCGGGTGTCGCATCCATCCCTGTAACGCGTCCAAGGGATATTGTAGAACTCTGACAAATTTTTAGATTTTATATACAGGGCCGCGCCACATATTGACGGTGTTGCTTCGCGATTCAGTGACCCTTTCAGAGTTTTAAATTTTTTCAAACCTCAACGATGGAACAGGAGCACAAAATTTTGATTCTACCGAAATACTATACCGTCGTCAGTCCGAAAAAATATACTGTGTGGTGCAACAATTGGAAATCCTAACATTATTTGGTCAAATAGTTATGAACCATAGACCAACTTCCAAAATCTAATGGGCCACACTGTATCAATGAACTAACAAATTCTAACCGACTTTTAAATTTTTCATTTTATTTTAAAAAAAACCTTCAAGCTTCTTTCTGTGGTCATCTACAGTCTCATCAGTGATATTTTCACACTTTTTCATTTTTAGCAATTGTGACTCCACTACGTAAATCCTCAAAGCTTTCCGAAACACCCAAGTCAATATGAATGAAGTCCACCTGTATATATGAAGTTATTGAAAGGACATCATACAATTTAAATGAGTATTAACTGTGTTAAATAGACTATTAAATTAGCAAAACAAATAGCATTTAACAGTGGTTACAACCCCTCTTTGATGGATAAGATTATACCAGAAAAGCAGTTTCAAATAACTCTGAACTCTATATATCCCATACTAAACACCGAAACTAAAATTTATAAAACAATAAAATATAATGGAAGAACCTAGCAAGAAAATTTTTAAGATTGCTTTTAAAATTAAAAACAACATAGGACATTTTTTAAAAAACAATAAAACTAAATTACGAAAAACTCAAAAATCCAGAGTCTACAAGTTGAATTGTGGATCATATCCCAAAATTTATAATATATATTAAAGAATTTAAAAGGGCGTATAAAAATAAAAGTTCTGAGTCATGCCATTCATTTAAATTCATAAATGTACAACTTTGACGGTAATTTTGATATTTTACATAATCAATCAAAAAGCAAAAGACTAAATTTGTTGGAAGCTATGGATATATGACCAATTGGTTTTAAATGGGTCTACCTTGTTAAATTTAAATTTATAACTCTACACCCGTAATTAAAAATCTATTGCTACCTATATATATATATATATATATATATATATATATATATATATATATATATATATATATATATATATATATATATATATATATATATATATATATATATATATATATATATATATGATGACACTATATTCCGGGATATCATCCGTTCGCTCGTTGAACTCCGACTGGAATCCTGCATCCGACTGGAATCCTGCAAATCTTGCATCCGACTGGAATCCTGCAGACGTTTCGCCAAAATCTCACTTGGCATCTTCAATGCTCGCGCTCCGAAAACACTTCGAACACCAGTGTGATAAAGGCAAGGTATTGCCCAAGCGGCTGTCATAAATCATTAGATAACTGTGAAAATGCGAGCATTTGTTATTCTAATTTAATTGTGTCAAATGGATTTTCATCAAGGAAAACCCACCTCAGTCCAATAAGTGTTAAATAGATTTTAACCAACCAGAAATACTGTCCGCCAGAAGCATGTACAAATCAATTTACGAAAAAATAAATTCAAATTGAACCGAACAAAATATGGATTTGGCATCATTAAATTATGTGATGCCATTTCAACAACACCGTCTATGGATGACGAATACAATGCAAGTGATATGTGCGCCACTATGAGGAATTTAAGCGATCACAGCCGCGAAAGCCTAAAGAGAGTGCAAAAAAATCAACCCCCTTAATAAAAAAAAAATAAAAAAAAATAAATACAGCAAAAGTTCGGCCTCATGCATCGGCGCGGTGGGCGGCACATGCAAAGGCGGTCTAATCATAGCCGAGGAGTAACTAGGCGGGGGGGTATCTGGAGGCGGGAACGACCCTTGGCTCCGCTGCAAGGTCCGCGCCGCAATCGCCTGGCTCGCCTGCGGCGGCGGCAGATACGGATCCGTCTCGTTGACCTGGTGGTACTCTTTCCTGAAACCGAAACGACTGCTACCGCGTTTCCTGAGAAACTGCTCGAATTTTACTTTTTCCTGATGTAAATCCATGTATGAGAATCGACCCATACCAAAACGGTCAACAAAAGACCGGCCAAAACGGCGGAGGCCAACATTAGGGTCAGCCCCAGCAAGCCTCCGTTGCACAGGGCCCTAGCCCCTCCCAAGTAATGTTTGTAGAGCGTCCTGCAGTCCACCAACGCGGTCAGTTGGGTGCCTATGGTGTCCGCGGTGTTGATTTCGCTCTTCAGAGAGCTAAATTTCTGTTCTAAACCTGCAACTAGGACCTGATAAACATCTGACAACGACAACATTGGACGTGTAACCTTTAACGGGGAACAATTGAAAGGCCAAAGGCTTGAGCAAGCTGAGGTCCATGCGCATGTTATCCAAAGTAGTTTTGGCCTCCCTTAGCCGCTGCGTGAACGGGTTTGCTCTCGCCCTTTCGCAGTTCAAGTAGTGCCTCAAAATCTCCTTCGACAGCTCCGTCGACGCCTGGTTTTCGATGAACTTTTCCGGAGCCATACAGAAGTCCGCTAAGGCCACGCTAGAGGCTAAAGGGAAAGACGGTTCTGTCAGTGGACGAATAGGCGAAAGATCGGAGAGTCGTTTACCTAGGTATACGCTGGCCATTAGGTATGACGCGATCACCGCCAACAGTCCGCAGACCGAGAACGCTATTAGTGCCCATCGATTGTGTCTCGCGATACCCACCAAGAGTACCACGCAGAGGATGAGGAGAACGCTGAGGACCGTCATGGTAAACGGCCACCGCACTGTTTCGATCCTCTCGCCCAGTTTAATTTTCGGAAACATGTCAAGGGCAAGCAAGGGGTTTCTGAAAGAGCCGACATTTTGTCGAATTCACTGTCTTTTCTAGATCACTCCGTGGATTTTTATATCGGATAAGCATATTTTGGAAAAAAATATTGGTAACAAGATTTCAGAAAAAAAAAAGTAAATAAATAAGGCGAAAATTGTAAGACGCATTACTTTTGTTTGTTTAGGATTTGGCGTCCCCTCAGAAATCGACTTTACTGTTCTTATCCAGATTTTGTTTATTTACTTAATGGTAACGAGAGAGGTGGTAAAAATCGCGTGGTGGTGTGGTAAATGGTAAAAATGCCATAGTATAATTTACTACTTAATTCTCATAGATTCTTTATTCTTCCGTATATTTGAAAGCAAAAGGTCAAACTTTTATTTTTCTAATTTGAAAATTAATTAAAAATAGAAGGATGATGCAAAGTCATCGTTATCTGAATAGCCAGTTTAAATGATATTAACATGCATAAAAACATACTTATCGACCTCTCGACCTTCTATTTATTAAATAACTTACGAATCGCATTATCTGGTACAGCATACTACTGACACTCATTTTCAAATTTTAGTAAGAATAGTCATATGAGTTGTGTTCAAGAAGTAAGGTGACCTTTAAGGATTATCAAAAAGTACTTCACTGTTCATCAAAATTAATGATGTCCTTTTCAAAGTAATCCCCTCACTGGCGCCGACGTTTTGTCCAATCCTCGAAGCTCTTCTGGTAAGCACTTTCTGGTATAGCCTTAAGTTCTTCCAATGATTTTTTCTTTACCTCCTCAATCATTAAAAACATCCTCCCTTTCATGGGTTTCTTAAGTTTTGGGAACAGGAAAAAGCCGCAGGGGGTCATATCCGGTGAATATGGTGGTTGAGGTATGATTGTGCTTTTGTTTTTGGCCAAAAAGTTAGAAACAAGCCAACGAGAGGGTTCATGCTTCTCGCAAATGGCATATAACTTCAAGGTAATACTCTTTATAACCGTACGACCTTGTCAACTACGCCACGATAATCGAAGAAAACAGTAAGCAAAACCTTGTCATTTGATCGAACTTGACGCGCTTTTTTCGGTCTTGGCGACCCTGGGTTCTTCCATTGGTACTACTGGGCTTTGATTTAAACGTCACAACCATATACCCAAAATTCGTTACCAGTTATGACCTTTTTGAGCATATTGGGATCATCATTGACGTCGTTTAACAGCTCTTGAGCAATGCTCCTTCAACGGTCCTTTTGTTAAAAATTAAGCAGATTCGGGACAAATTTTGCTGCTACACATTTCATGCCGAAAACTTCGGAAAAAATTGCATGGCACGAGCCAATGGAGATGCCGACGTCTTCAGCCGATTCTCTAATTCGATGAATTTTTCAACACAACTTCTTTCACTTCTTCAAAGCTTTCATCAATTATTGATGTGCTGGAGCGTCCAGAGCGAACTTCGTCATCGCCATATTTTCTTGGAACACCTCGTAATGCAACTTCCAAAAAAAAACAAAACAGCCTTTGTTCAAGAACATTTTTGCTTCTATCTTATAAACGGGGGCCAGCATAACTGCATTCGTAATAAATCACGACCAATGATACAAATAAATAATATTATGACATCGCAACAACCTCGCTTCATTTCATTGATCATTTACTTACTTCTTTGCCACCTTTCCAAAGCAATCAACTCTCAATGTTTAAATTACCGATCTCCCAGGAACAAAACCATACAAAAAAGAGTAAAAGTTTGTGCTATAATATCTGCCAATTATATGACCGCGTTTCCTACACAAGTTTATTACTCACAAGTTTATTACTCATCTTCGGGAGACCAAATTTTGGAAAGCTGTCAAATCATAAATAATGATCTATAAATCATCTACAGGGTGTCCCTAGAACATTCACTTCATCTAAATCCAAAAAAAATCTCTAGCAATGTTCTTTGGTAGGCCCGTGGATGTTGATCGATTATGTCAACTAGTTGAAATAAAAATATCGAATGTGTGCATATCGACGATATCTCCATAAATGTAATCTTTATCACAAAATTATAAGATTGAAGTCTACACCCTATCTTTTCAAAAAAATTTGCTTTCGCACAGACGTTCACAATTTAAATTGAAAATTTAAAGGTCTGCCCACCCCTTCACTTCACCCATCTGGAATTTTTGAAAGATCCTTTACATATGACATGGCTAAAACATATAATGCATTCGATCAGTCTCTTAAATTGCTAAACAATACCTTTTCCACATACCTGCGTGAAGTATTATTATCATTAAATATTTAAGTAATGTCTGCTGTAAACTATTACCAAAGTGTAAGTCCCTCTATTTGCACAGATCGTACTGGGTATTTATTTATTTATTTTTTCAATATGTATTTTTCCTGCCTAGCGCTGCTACCTTCTTCTTAGGACAGGTTTAAAAACGGAGGCTCAAAATATCTTATTTTGTTCATTTGAACCGTGTCCTTTTCATTGTATATAATAATATGTGAATAAAATTATTATTATTATTATTTACTATTCAACATCACCTTCTCTTATCAGATTTATTAGTACGCTTTTGGCTATAGTTTTTCTTGTGTCCTCATAATGAACCCCAGAATATGACGTATCTTTTGTAACGAAGGCGTCAAGGTCTTCTTCATGACGACCTAGGGTAACATATTGTCTAACATTAACAAGCTTAATTATCAGAAAAGTTCATAGACACACCACAATCGGCAGCAGAAACCATACGTTTTGGTTAGTTTCTCTTTGTTTCTCTCGTATGTACGTATGTTCCATAGGTCTCAAAATAATAAACCTAAATCATACCTAATCTCGGCGGCGGCGTTCGCGGCCAGCGTATTATTGCCAACCAGGCGGTTGAGGTGGACGTCGGCCTTCTTCAAAATGGTGAGATTGCTGACCGGCGGTTCGTCGAACACGTTCCTTATGGCGGCGAAATCGCTGGCCGCCTGCACCCTGAGCTGTCTCTCGATGGCCTCCGTGTGGTTGCGAATTTTCGCGACCAAATCGTCCGCCAATCTGGCTTGTTGCATCGTTTGAACCACACCGTTGTGGAGATCGTCGTTGCCGTAAAGACCAAGACCAACTGCCGCGCAACAGAGCACCGAGGTGATCGCGAGGGTCACTTTGAGGGCGGAAATCGACTCGGCTTGTCTCGGTTTCCGGTCGCAGCATCGCGTCAGCAGGTAGAGCAGCAGGATGAAGAGGGTGAAGATGAGCCACGCGGCCGGTACAGACGCCAAGATACCCAAGCTCTGCGGGTGAGGGAAATAAAGGAGTCAGCCTCATGATTAACAAAGATCACCAGGAAGTACATACTAAGTCAAATCAAATTAATTTCCATGGACCTGATTTCCTGTAATGTCAATCATATAAAAAATAAATTATAAACATTAAAATAATATACAAATACAAAAAGCGATTACAACAATATAGTGTCACAGTCAAAAAATTAATTTAAGCTAGGACTAAATGATTAAAAAGTTTTACGGGAAAAAAAACGGGACTATTGGCCACTATATTCTGCTCCTTAACCATTAATGCAAATTAGAATTTTGAAGTGGCTCATAGCTACTAGGATTAGATTTAACAATTAACACAAAATTATAAAATAAATAAAAAGACCAGAAAGAGTTAGTATTCCCATATCACGAAGTAGTTAACTAGAGAAAAACCTAGGTTTAAATAACATTGTTCTTATTATTATTATCATTACCATGCTATAGTTTAGGCACGAATGAGCATATGCAAAATAATATAAACGCAACAAATCATTAGAAACCTTAATCTCCATATTACGTAGCAATAGGTAGATTTTTTTTTAATATTGGTTAGTTCAGGTTAAATTGGAATCGAAATAGACACCCAGAAATCTGGCTACTTCTCACTGGATAGTTTTGTTATTCAATCTAACTAAAAGGCTTTTGTTTAAATCCCTGCAAGAAAACCCAAACAATTCCGTTTCTCTGCATTCAAAATAAGATGATACTATTGGTACTCTTCGAAACAATCGCTACTGGATCATCATCAGCAAACAGAGATAGATAGCTGTTTCTAAAAAGTGCGAAGATATCGATTATAAATGCAATAAACAGTAGAGGTCCTACCCTGAGGCACCCCACTTAAAACCGCCTTCCATTTAGAAATATAACTGTGCTACCATCCTCAAGCTCTACTGCTTGACATCTATCAGTCAAAAAGCACAGCACACAGCAGTTCTCCGGTCTCGATCAAAATTAAGAAGAATATAACGAAAATAACCTTGCGAAGCGGAAGAATTATTGCATTTTTTAAGCAAGATGGAAAAGTACCAGTGGAGTGAAGAATAAATGTTGTAGATGTAACATCTTTTAAATAAAGCAATGTCGCAATATAATTAATTAATATCAGGTTTTCTTAATATCTAAGAACAAAAACTATCTTCCTCAAAAACAAGATCTAAAGAACAAAAAGAACATATCCTGATCGATACGCGATAAGCACTACAGCCTATATTAGCCGAGTGCTAATAACTGTTCTTGAAGAGTGTGCAAGAGTAAGGGAGGGAGAGTGACACTTTTTAAAGTGGTTAATGTTCGGTGACCTCGGTATACTAACAATCGGTAACAACGCGGTCGATACGGTCCTGAACGCTTTCAAAGAAGGACTCAACGCTAGCGTGGCGGGAGGGGGTGGGAGAAGCACGCATTGTTTCCCGCCACTTGGCCGACATTTGCGCCGCCATGAATACAAACGACGCAAAATAGAATCACGGATTGTTAATAATTGCATCCGCATTCGCCTTTTCTTCACGCCTTTTTCTGGCACTCAAACTAGAGAGAGACTAGAGCTCTTAATGTTAATGGCCCGATATTTAGTTGCGATTGTCGGCCAGTTCTTTCTTATGTTCTGTGATTATTAGCTATGATTTTTGACATTCCCAACCAGCAACTGATTTGTTTTAAAATTAATAGATAGAATTATCAAATAATTCCGGCAAGCAAGAGTCAGGTTGAGGATTTTCCACTACTACTACGACTTAATAATAGCAAAATTTTACAGATCTACGGAAATATTTTGTTCTGTAATCCATGGTAACACAAATACTGCTTCAAGATTGAACTATATATTACCAAACCACAAAATTGACCAAAACTTAACGCTTACAAAGAAAACGAAGCGCACACCAAAACATTCCTAACCATTAAATTGGTATTCCAAGTTAAAACCTAACTGTCAAATAACAAAAAAATGCGAATACTGGCAACGTTGCCGGCAGTGACGTCCGACGTCCTCACCTCCAAATAGACCGCGGACTCGGGCTCGAACCTCGAGTCGACCTCGTAGAAGGTGGTGTTGACGTGGGGCAACCTGTGGAGGAGCTCGGCTAACTTGGGCGGGCGGTAGTGGTCATCGGGGTAGGCGCCCATGCCGGCAGAGGCGCCGGGGATGGTGTCGATGCGGAGGCGTCTTTAAGCGCCGCGCGCCTTCTTCGTGACGTCACCGGCAGGCTTCAGACCATGGTGGTCGTCTGGTCTCGTGAAACGCAACTGCAAGAGGACCATATACTGATAAATACAATCCAATGGTTACCACTTAATAATAATAAATATATTTTTAATCATATTAGTTCCCAAGTATTTTTCCTATCTTTGTTAACAAGGTTGGAGAAGCGATTAAATTATTTACTTTCAAAGTTACTAGATTGGCCACATCGCTTCCAAGTGCAACAAGATTGCTTTCGAAAAATGGTCACTGGGCGTGCAAGTTCGTAGCGCGTAGCGCGAAGCAGCTTTTTATTGTTTTTTGCATTGTTTTTCTATCGTGCTCCTGCGGACCACTATGGAACTTTCGCAAAATCGATGTAATTTAATTGTGCATGCACCCTGTATAAAATGTCTTCAAAGTTACAGCAAACATCGGTAAATATCAAAATTTAAACAAATAATAGCGTTGTCGAATGATATTTTTTCAAATATCTCGCGCCTTGTATAACTGACGAAACCTGAAACGATCACGACACGGTTTACGAGACTGTTCATATAAAATCTTTAACGTTTTTTCATTTATCGGCAAGAATTTAGCCACAAAAAAGGAAAGTTTTAGGATATTTTAGATTTTTTGCCTATAAACGACACACCCTGTATATGATACAATCATTGTTCGAAGTAGAGGCTATAGCCCTGGATTTTCCACACGTCCTGGTTCATGAATTTTTTGAAAATAGTAAATGGTTTTCGAGAAAATAAGTTTTTTCTGAAACCCTGCAGTGCGCCGTAATAATCAATGATGTGATGGCGCCTTGAGAACCCAAGAAATAGCAATTTTTTCAAATATCCAGAGCAGCGTATGCGATAGACGAAAACCGCAAATACAAAAATTGTAGCTCTTGATGCGGCCTATGACACCGTTTGAACCAATTAGCCATATTTTTTACGATTTTTGATTTGCGGCTAATAATTTACTCTGTAAAAAAACAATTTTCTGGGTCTTTTAGATTTTTGCCTATAATTTGAAAACCCTGTATATAATCGAAAAAATGCCTGAAATAAATGTTTTTACACTAGATCTTCTGCGTCTGCCGGTTAAAGAATTTTGCCAATCGGATGAACGATTTTTAACGAAGTTAAAAACTATCAAAAAAAAAAAATTCAAATATATTTAAAAAATACATGGTAATATTTGATTACGATCGATTTCTACAGTTTAAATGTGGACACGGACTTTTACTGCTCTGCTAAATTTGAAGTTGATATCTGCAAATTTAGGACACTTAACACATTTCTCATTTCAATTATAGGGGGACCCATTTTTCATTTTTTTTTTGAATTTGCGGCGCACCCTGTATATTTTTGAAAAATTGTCACGAATCAAAGTTTATAGAGCCGTATCTTCTGGTTCTTCTGGTTTAAGAATTTTTTATTAAAATTAATTAACAATTTTTGAAAAATTATATTTTTTGTAGACCCTTACACGCGCGATTTTTTATTTTTTTAGAATACTTCCCGACCCCTAGCCCCCCCATTTTCAATACGTCAAGGGGCAATGCTGGATATATGTGCCAAATATGAAGTCGATTGCTTCAAATTTCGGACACTTATCGTGTTTCATAGCCAAAAAAACAGTAGAAAATCGCGAAAAAAAGATGGATACCGGCCTCGGATCAGGGCTATTTCTTACAAGCTTATGTGCCTCGTGGAGGGTTAAAAAGGGGGCAAATATCTATTTTGTAGCTCCAACGGTTCGAAAGTTATTCAGGAAAAACCAAAAGACGAGAACGGAGAACGGACAGACAAAAAAATTTTTTTTTGACGGTGATCATTTCTGTACCAACGATTTCATCGATCTTCGAAAGTAGATGGTACGACTTTTTTTACTATATAATAGCAAAGAACATATAAAAATGGCGACTACTTTATGTGATCTCGGACTATACACGAATATCTCGAATTTTTGAAGGCATTTAACCAATTATTTTCTACCACCACCTTGAACTTGATTTGATTCTTAAATCACTGTTAAGTACCTAGCTAAAGATCAAGCCTTTCAATGAGTTTTCAAATAACTTTATTTCTTATTATTGTTTCTGAATCCACAATCAAAAGGTAAAAATTATTTTTTCAAAATAGCTAAATTCAGCAAAAAATATTTTTTCTATGCTTAGGACTGACTTCATTTTATTTTAACGAATAAAACGAAAACGAAAAACACATTCGACCGTCTCCAGTATAAAATGGTGGCCTGACACTATCAGGGCCGCGTTTTTATTGGATGAATTTCCAGGCGATAATTCGTGGCGGTTTTTTTTCGTCGTTAATTTGGTAATTCAAATTTCGAAATTTTTAAAACTTTTATTCTGTCATGATTAAAAATTTTTCTCAACTCAAGTGAATTTATATTTTATAAATGATTTCAATCCAACTTGCAATTTTGAAGGCGCGTCGACGTTCTATTTTTTTGGTATATATATGAAGTCGGCTTAGTATTTAATTTTATGAAATAAAAAAAACAACCAAAACCAACAATGTTTTCTATCCTCTTCCCAAGAAATAATAAACAACTATTAAATTAAAATAAGCGCGATTGTGTCTAAAAATTGTGTATAGCTTTCATGATAACTTATACAGGATGTCTCTGATAGAGCGGATTATTTTTGAAGTTACAGGACAAACATTTCCGCGCCACTATCTCCTTGTTTGCCCGGGTGACGCATTAAAAAAAAAAGGACCTTTCCTTTAATAATAATAATTTTATTGATACAGCACTATAAATATAAACAAGTACGCAGATTGGATTTGAAAAACCCAAAGCTAGTGAAAAAATTCTAAACAAAAACCAAAATAGGCAAACAAAGTTAAACAACAAAAAAGGCACAGAGATAAGGTTCATAATTCTTGCATATACACATAGAATATTTCCCCAGGAAGGGGTACTGAATCGATCCATTACCCCTGATTCGATATTAAAATTACCATATAGAACTTGCGTGCAAAATATTACAGGTGGTTTGGTAAATAACTGGATATATTTTACTGCAGAATCAAAATATTAGGATTTCACCCAATTCGCTTAGAAAAAATAAGTTTGTTTTTGTATTTTTGAGTTATTAAAAATGGTCTTCTATTTCGAATGTAACAAAATGCTTCTATTGGGAACCGCAACTTGTTTTTAAATGTTGATGAATGCATCTTTTCGTTTGAAGAAATGAAAATAACGAAAATAAATAACGCGGACATAATTAATGTTTAACTTCATAGTAATTTTGCAGATGGTGTAGGTGCAGTTGCAGAGCAAGAACTAAGGTAGCAATGGATGTAGGTACTGTCGACACGGAAGTGGTAATTAAATTCATAAATGTTCCATAGCCACTAGACAATTCATTACGTTTTAACATAAATCTTTCTTTTTACAATTTTCTTCTACTTTTAATAAACAAAGACTCTAAATAAAAATGCCTTTTCAATTGGTAAGGGCGCCGACTATTTTTAAATATCAAAATATAAAATATAAAAAAATATCATGAGATCCAACATCTTTATCTTAGCTTCTACGTATATATTCATATCAAAAAGAGCATCACACTTATCATCACATTTCCATTATTTAAAAACGATAAAAATGCTTATTCACCACTTGTTATAAAAGTGTCGAAGGGGCGTCGACCTACAAACAAGATCTTCGCCAAGACGATTAGTGTGCAGAATTTACAAATAATGGCTAATATTCCTTTAAAACAACTTGCATCTGTCCTACACCTCTGGTAGTAACCAGAAACATTTATTTAGCGTGTATAGTGACCACACTACAGGCCAAGTATGACAAGGAAAGATCAAGGAGTTTCTAGGCAAAAATAATTTTCGATGAAATCTTAATTTATGTACGTGGACTACAAGACCACACGTTTTTCATTTATTTTAATTTTATGATCAACCTCTTGACACCCGCATACAAAAAGTTAAATCCTACAGTTTGAATTTTGACGCGGAATGGTCAAGAATGTCCCTGATGCGAAATGTTTTTAATTTTCGGTAACACTCACCCGTTTGCGCTTGCGGTCATCGAACCAAGACACGAGACAAAAACTCAAGAGTTTGAGCGTAATAGCCAAATAGTACACAGTCCTAAGCAGACCGAACAGCATGGTCGACGAATTGTATAACAAATCAGCGACGTAATCGCGAACGGCACTACAAAACGAGCAAAGCGCGTTCCCGATAAAAAAAAACCCAAGCTCGACGATGCCGAGTTTACAAACCGCCCTTCCACCGAGTCTCGGCGTGGTCAAGAGCGATTTTTCCCCACGAACCGGTACGAATCGCGAAACGCGGCAACACCGCTCAGTAGTCCTCCGCCGGGTACGTGCGTACTCGGCGTAAACACATTAGAATATCGTTCACAAAGACTCAATTTGGAAAATTACTCTGGATATTCTAAGTAATCTATAGCCGGTAAATAAGTCTGCGTCTGCGTCGTGCGTACTCGGCGTAAACACATTAGAATATCGTTCACAAAGACTCAATTTGGAAAATTACTTTTGATATTCTAAGTAATCTATAGCCGGTAAATAAGCCTGATGTACGAGGTTAGCGCCAAAATCATTTAGGTATGCATAAGGTTAGTGCAAGATGGGTTCCTAAAAACCTTCGGGTTATTCAAAAACAAGGCCGTGCCGTGATAGAAACTATTGTGACGGGAGATGAAACTATGGTTATCTATTATGACCCTCTATCGAAAAAAGAATCAATGGAGTGGCGTCGTAAGGATGAAGCACCTCTAAGAAAATTCAGAGTCGCCGGTCAAAAAAAAGGTGATGGCCACGATCTTTTGGGATTGTGAAGGAATTCTTTTGATAGATTTTAAAGAAACTAATACCACTGTCAATGATAAATTGAAAAATGATAAATGAATTGAAGTGCATAATTTTTCGAAAGCGTTCGATAGGGTCGACCAAGATAGTTTACTCCACAACCTTGTGGAGATGGAGTTCGACGCAAATCAAGTATTGTTCTTTAAGTCGTACTTAGCAGACAGACTTCAAAACGTCGAGATGCGAGGACATCAATTAACCTTGCCCCCCTCATATTTTCCATTTTTTTAAATTTTATCAGTGGTATATGGAGCAAATTATTACTATATGCAGATGATATGAAACTATTTGCAGTTGCCCGTATTCAAGATGACTGTCACCTTCTTCAGAGGGATCTTCAAATTCTTGACTCTTGGTGTGAACTCAACAGATTCCCGCTGAATATTGACAAATGTTTTCTGTTAGTTTTTGGAACCGGGCTCTGGTTGTATTGGGATTGATTAATTTCTAAGCAATATAAAATATACTGATATATATATATATATATATATATATATATATATATATATATATATATATATATATATATATATATATACATATATATACACACTTATATACTGCTCTGAATTGTTATGGGAGATCGGTTTTCACGTTCCTTCCCGGGCAATATTCCACCTACCAACTCCCACCACAAATTTTTTGGTATGAAGTCCACTCTTTCAAGCAATGGACATTTTCAATGGTATTTGTATTAGTGATGGTCGATGATCTAACAGCGGCTCAGTTTACCATTTTACCATGTTTTTATTGGTACATTCTCAGTATTCTCTGAATTAGTTGTCTTGTTTATTAATATTACTATGCTTAATAATTTTTTTTCTGATTTCTAGGACTGTCTATTTCCCTGCACCTCGTTTCCCTTACTGGGACGTCTGATGTGAGTTGACGACTCTCGTAATAGCTTTACAAGAAACTTAATAAAGGTCATATGATTATTACTATAGTAGCATAATATTTGTCAGATTTTTTATGGTAAAGAGATATAAGATGTTTGTTATATCGTAAGCCATTGAAACCATGTCGACCCCTGAATGCAATGGATGAAGGAACTTCGCAGCGGAAGTCAGCACCAGTCATAGCACAGCCACCGACCTTGACAACCGCGCAAACAAATCTGTCAGATCGTAAATAGCGAAAAGTCAAAACCGCAAGATGTCCGACGAAACGGACGTGGAACCGCGAGACTCCTATATTGATGTCCCGGTGAAACACCCATTGCAACACTGCTGGACCTTGTGGTACCACCAGAACGACAAGAACGTCGCGTGGGAAATGAGTCAGCGCGAAATAGCCTCCTTTCAAACGGTAGAGGACTTCTGGATGCTGTACAACCACATCAAACCGGCCAGCGAGTTAAAACACGGCTCCGACTATGCCGTTTTCCGGAAAGGCATCAGACCCATGTGGGAGGACCCTGCCAATAGGAACGGAGGTCGTTGGTTAATCAATTTGGACAGGAAGCAGCGGTCGGGAGAGCTGGACCGGTACTGGTTGGACATCATGCTGTACCTCGTGGGCGAGGAGTTCGAGATGTCGAAAGAGATATGCGGAGCTGTAGTTAATAGCAGGTATAGAGGGGATAAGATTGCCGTTTGGACAACGGACGCGAGCAATAGCGAGGCGGTTTTGGGGATCGGGAGGAAGTTGAGGGACAGGCTGCATATTCCTTTGAGGAACCTGCTGGGGTATCAGGTTCACAGGGACGTGATGGATAGGTCAGGTTCTGGACTGAAGTACACTTACATAATGTAGTAGGTTAGGGAAGAATTCTTCGAATTGCCATTGTGATAATAAAGATTTTTAAGAAGCACCAACGTAAGGAATTCCTTTGAATTTGAATTGATTTTAGCGCAAAATTTCAACAAAGAAAAGTAATATTTTTGCGTGATAGTTTTTAACACATAAATTATTGCAACTTAACACAACGACATGCGGAAGCGTAGGAGGAGATCACACAAGTTTATCACTCTACGCAGACTTATCTATTTAAGAGGATACCAGTTCTTTGTAAGATAGGATACAGGGCGTTAGTCTAGTTTCCTGTTTTTTTGGTTTTTCAAATGTAGGTACGCTAAACTTGTAAATTTTTTGAATTTGTACAACAAAATTAGAATTAAAATTACGTCTTCATCAATAATAAATCCTTAGCTTTCACACGTCTCGGAGACCTTTATTAACAGTTTGTAATTTTTTAATATTCGTTATGTTAACCAACGCACATTTTTTTAAGATTTTGGATTCATATACATCAATATCCGAAGGACAAGCGTTCAGTCTTTTTATTTTTTAAGCTGTCAACATTGAAATATTAAAAAATTTGGTTATTTTCGCAAATCGGGAATAACTTCATTAGAAAAAGGAGTTTATACGTGAAATATAATACAAACACAATCCGCCAAATTTGTTTTTTTTTTCACGTTTTTCTAATTTCAATTTTAGCACCTATATCAATCATCAGAGTTTATAAACAAATAAAGCTTAGTCGATTTTATTACAATTCCAAAAATACAATAAAAAAAGCAATTTAATTGTTTTTTATGTTTTCATATTATGCGGATTTTAGTAGTAAAACCTTGATATACCGGGTGACACAAGAAAGCGGGAACACTCTATAACTTTTAAACGGCTTGAAAAAGCGATTTGAAATTTGGAGGGGTTAATAAAGGTTGAATGTCCAATTTTTTCACAATATGTAGTCAATGGTTGCGTTTCCGGTCATCATTCTACGTAGGATAGGACGGTTTTTCTCTTTTTTTTTAATATTTATTTAATTTTTGAAAATTGTGTCTAGGAGGCTGTGACTATCATAAATACTATTTACCAGGTCACCTGATGATGGGAAAAATTGTAAATGAAACTCGTTTACTCGTCTAATAGCAAATAGCATTTAATGTAATGAATAGTTCATTGTTCAAAGTTTTATTAGAATAACCTAGTTTTTTCAAATAGCACCCTAGCGGGAACAAAAACTTTTGAAAGCCGGTAATTTTTTTGCAACATTTTGACACTAAAATGTTGAAAATCCGTTAAAAAATAAGCTCACAGGCAGGAAAAAACCAGATAAATAAATACATTTTTATAGAAACAAAATATTACTTAAGTGGCTTTGCTTCTATTCATCATCAGCAAAATGTTGCTGGTTTTAAAAAGTTTTTGTTCAAACTAAGGTGCTATTTGAAAAAACTAGGTTAACATAAAAAGAAAAGTTTCATTTACAATTTTTCCCATGATCAGGTGACCCGGTAAATAGTATTTAAGTTGGCCACAGCCACCTAGACACAATTTTCAAAAATTGAATAAATATAATAAAAAACAAAAAAAAAGAGAAAAACCATCCTATCGTAGCCTATCGTATCTCAAGCCGTTTAAAAGTTATAGAGTGTTCCCACTTTCTTGTGTCACCCGGTGTACTCATTCATCCTGTCCTATATAATTGCGTAGGAATTACGTTGCAGTCCTTTGTATGCTTTTATTTGGTCAAATTCTTAATTTCTCTGGCCCCTAGCATTACTCCGAGTTAATTGCAATTCATGCTCCACCAATGTAATTTAATATCTACGACTTTAATACTTTTTACAAACTTCTGCGTCGGTTTTTGCTGAGTCGAGCTTGCTGACGTTTCGCCAATCATCCTGTTGGCTTCTTCAGAGCTTGACTGAAACTGGCTCGTATTTTACTCTGTACCTGCTTATACATTGTATATACGAGCCAGTTTCACTCAAGTTCTGAAGAAGCCAACAGGATGATTGGCGACACGTCAGCAAGTTCGACTCAGCAAAAACCGACGAAGGAGGATCCAGAAGTTTTGTAAAAAGTACTACCGAAGCCTGTGGAAGTTTCTTTTAAAAAAAAATTACGACTTTTTTTTTCTCTTGCTTGTCCATTTCCTTTCCTTTTTCAAGTATTCAATTTCTATGGACGCCTATATAATTATTAGCCATATTGGAGCACAGCATATTTTCATTTTCTAATATCTTATAACGTCGTCTATCTTTGTTCCTAATTCTTTTACAATTTTTTCCTTGGGTCATTGGCGATTTGCTCCTCAATAATAACTGCCGAGCGGATTAATAAATTACGCACGGGATACAGGACGATTTTCTAATCCGATTTAACGGTCGACGACCTATCGATTGCGGGTCAAGCGACAAAGCTTTTTTGCCCCGGTAATAATTTCGATCGCGTTGAAACTACGACTCAACAGATGACTCGTTAAAAAACATAGTTAGACCCCAACACTTAATTATGAGGCATTCGGGGTCGTCAAACAAAAACAAGCGGATAAATTCAAGAGCTCGGTCGGGACATACTACGGGAGGCAACCAAAACAAAGAGTCCCCTTTTAAAAATAGTTCGCCAGACATCTGTTTGGCACGCATTCGTCATCGGGCCGTGATTTTTTCTTCTTGCTTCGTTTTATTATTTTCATGCGGTCCCGATGTACAGCAATGCCTGGAATTTTTTGGGGCCGCCTCTTTGGCCGAACCATCTTTAACATCTGGATCGCGCGGCCTACGTTGCCTCGTGTTACGTAAATCGAGAGGCGTGATGAAAGAACGATCTGGGTTCCGCCATTTTTTTGTTTTTCGCTTTGCTTTTCGCCATACAGAAAACCAGTGCAATCGATCTAAACTGGAATGACAACAGTTTGACAGAAAAGTGGTAATGGGGGTTACTAGCCATCCTTCTCAAGTGCAAATATACATACAAATTTTTATTACTTTCTATCCTACTCTCGATTATTCACCAACACCTTGATAAAAGAAGAACGTTAGAGGGAGAGCCCTAGAGTCTACAATATGAGCGAACTATTAATTGTAGAAGAAATTAGAACAAAAAATATTGTGGTGAGTATATTGCCACTAAAGCTCAATCGGTAACTGCTGGAAACATGCCCAAGGGATTTTGTTCTGTGAGTAATTTAGATTTTATTAATTTTGTATACGCGGATAGCCGTAATTCCCTCATCTGAATGGTAAGACTATTCCACATCCTTATTGACACATGCATCTATCTACTTCTTGCTCTTGGGAATATGGAAGAAGTTGGAACATCTCATTAAGATAAGCCGGTTAACCTGATTTTATAATTTTATAAACGAACCTGTACCGTGTGTTCAATTTATCTTGATAACATTTTAATTGGCTCTAACTTTTTGTTTTTAGAGATATCAAGGTGAACAAAAAAAAACAAAATGTAGGGTTAGTAGCCGAGTTTTTTCCAAGTGACGTATAAAACAAAACACTATCAATTTTCTGACATATAAGCCTACACTATATTTTTTGAAATGGAACACTCTGTATATTATATATGTGTTTAATAGAATATCTTATTTCGAGTGAATTGATGTAACACACTTTATTTTAGTCCATTCGTTTTTGACAAATCGACGAAAACATTAAATTTCAAAGAGTGCCCTGACTGACAAACAAAACTATGCTTATGTTTGACAGAGTATATGAAGAGACAGGGATCAATCTACACAGTTTTGAAAAAACAACTAAGTGCAGAACAATGTCAAAGGATGATGCAGTTTTATTTGGATTTTGGAATACATACAAGATTTACCCCTAAATATATCCGCGCTAATTATATGGCAGCAAGACCGTCCTCACAAGGTTGTGCAAGAAAAGTTTTCTTAACATGGAATATCCCAAGAGCTGGATAGGGAACGGATAGCCAACAGCCCCGACTTACCTTTAATGGATGTTTTCTTTTGGGGACACATAAAAAATCACGTGCACAGAACTCCTTGTAATAATGTGGATCTTAGGCAAATGATTTCAGAGGCCATTAATCAGTTATGACACAATCCGGAAACGTTACTAAATGCAAGCATCATACAACTAGAGTGTATGAGAAATGTCTTTAGCAGCAGTATTTAGAATAGTTAAAGAATTTTTTACTTTAGAGTGTCTTGTCATTTTTAGTATTTTTCATCTACTTTCATTTGTAAATAATAATTGTTGTTGCAGTCAGTCACAAAAATTGTATAAAAATTTCATATTTTTGCCGATTTGTCAGACACGAGTGGACTGAAATAACATTCTATCATTCTATTCCAGACTTATATGTCAGAAAATTGATAGTGTTCTGTCTCATACGTCACATAGAAAAAAATTAGCTACTAACCCTAGATTTTGCTTTTTTGTTAACCTTGATTTCTTTAAAAATAAAAAAGTTACAACTAATTAAAATGTTATCAAGATAAAATGAACGCATGGTACATATGCAGTTTCAGTCGATTACCCATGTTTAAAATATTTAAATTATTCAAAAAAGGAGACATATAACTACAGCAAAGTATGTTATAGGCAAAACGCATACAAGCGTTTTCCAATTTTTGTATTGACTTTTAGTTTGCCTCCATATACCATGTCTGCGTAATCAAACAATGAAAGAACTGCGGTGTTTCAGAGAAAATATGTTTGTTTTGGAGTTGAAAATTGTGTTAATCTGTAAATGTTCTTAAGGCGTATGTAACTGGCTTTAAGTTTTTTTTTTAATGTGAAAATCAAATGATAAGCAATTATCAAGTCAAACTTAAATTTTTTACTGTACTTACAACTGGAACAAAATTTTCTCGAATGTCCTTGTTTTTATTAATGATAATTGAGATTTTTGAGGGTTAAGTTTTAGGTTGTAATTTGTTTCCAAATAAGTTGAAGTTGTTGAGATCTGTGTTAAGTTTTTGTTGAACTTCTGCAATGGAGTGGTAAATGAAGTTCAGAATCAGAAACTGTTTATGCTTTGAATGTGTTACACTCTGATTTATATCAGATAATAAAAAGAAAATAGCATTGGGGAAATTACTGGCCCTGTGAAACACCTTGCTTAATCAACTTAAATTCGGAGGTTTGTAGAAAAGTGTTGTACCTTTTATAATTAGAACGCGACTGTATTCACCTGTTACAATGTCTTTCATAAGATTTATCGAACGAGAATCCGAAATACTTCTCTAAAAGTATCATTTTACCAAGTCAGTTTCGTTTCCCACGCATCCGAGCCACTTCGGACATTTCCGAGA